CTTATTAACATATTAATATACAGCCATGTGAGTAAAAATAAACACAAAGTTATGGTAAGGAGAATATGGGAGAAATAACTTTTTGAAAATGAAGATTTAAAGAAAAAAAATTAAGATATGATTCAAAGAGTACCCATACTGGAAACACATGGAAAAATGTTAACAAACACAAAGTAAAGCAACTGTAAAACACCATCTTATGTTCAGTCATAAAAATTAAACAAAATACTTAGTCTAAGGGTGTAATGAAATGTGTATACACATTATTGTTCTTGTTGATGTCAAGTGGCACGGACTATTTAAAGAGCATTGTACTTTCATTTCTAAGCACCAGTTTTGGAGGTTTTTTTTAGCATCTGGCTGCACCCGGTCTTAGTTACGGCACACGGGATCTAGTTCCCTCACCAGGGATCGAACCTGTGCCCCCTGCACTGGAAGCACAGACCAACAGAGTAGCACTGCACCACCAGAAGTTCCCTCTAAGCACCAGCTGTTGATAACAGCAGTGAAGACGTGTGAAGATATTCTTTGCACCATAAACTACGATAGCAAAAAGAACAAATGTCAAAAGAAAATGTTTAGTAGGTTTTAGTCCATCAACACAGTACAATGTTGTCTTTAAATCATGAAAGCTACAGAAACAAAAAATAAATACGTTGTATGCAAAAGTAAAAAAGCATGTCTGATAACAGTATAATTTTTAATAAAGAAATCCTTTAATGTCTGAAAAACGAAAACCAGTGGTGTAACAATGAAGGCAGGACAAGCTGGAGGTGATGGATGTGTTTATGGCACAGACTGTGGTGATGGTTTCGTGGCTATATGCTTATCTCTGACTCATCAAGCTGTATACATTAAATATGTCGTTTTTTGTATGTTATTCCTTGGTCAAAGTAGTTTTTTTTTTTTAACCAATTGTATTTGGCAGTGAATGCAATTAAACATGTGTAAATATAGTCCTTCACTGCTCTGATTTCTCCCCAAATTTATAGTAATCCTTAGCTTTCACTCTAGCATTCTAGAATCTACTCCAAGAGGCATCATAAAACTTCTAGTTCTGAAAACAATTGTGAATGTTTTAAATTTCATTCATTTTATTGAAAACAATTCATGGGGGGGGTGTATTTCAGCTATAACATTTAGGAGAGATTTAGGAAATCAAGTGAACAATGGATAGCAAGATACTGGGCAGAGGTTTGTATACAAGATCTTGATAGCAAGATACAGAGGAAAGTTTGCTCCAAGATCAAAAGCTATTCAAAGTCCTGAAAACCTTTTGTTCTGAAAAATATTCTTGACACCAGTTGTGTTCAAAGACTGCCCTGGAGCAGGCTTTGGGGAGGATCTCCCTCTGGGAATCTGGAACCGGGAGAGGGATGAGAAACAGGCGGCTTAAACTCTCAGGGGGAATTTGAGCTGAGGAACTGGCTGGCCCAACTCCCTAAGCAGGGAGGTTTCCATGGCAGGGCCAAATCACGTATCCTCAGGTTTGGCTCACAAGGTCAATTTTCAAACAAAGCAGAGGACTCAGCTGCCAAGAAAGTCTGCCCCCAGCTCATTAGTCTGACAGCAAATAAGTCTACCAACACCAGTGCACCTGCCCCTGGGCCAAGGTTCACTCCTGACCAACACTGTGGATAATTTCCTACATGTCTTTTTTTCAAAACCTCCCTCATTTTGTCAGAGTCCTTTCAACTTGTTCTTATTCCCCTTCCCCTATCCGATGTCCAAAGACATCTGAGGGTTTGAAGGGGAAAGGCTATGTGATAAATTTCACTTTTAGGATTCTGGAACTCCACAGTTGTGAGGGAAGGCCTTTCTGTTCCCCCAGGCTTCTAAACTGCTTTTGCAAGGGTAATCTAATCTGGGACAAGTAGCTACCACCATCTGGGAGTTTGTTACAAATGTAAGCTCCTGGCCCCCTACTAGGTCAGAATCCACTGCTGGGTCCTACTCCCAGCTGTGTTAGCAAGCCCTCCAGCTGATTCTGATGTTTGCAAAAGTACAAAAAGCACTTGGTTAAATCCTGTTAATATTAGACAATTATGCAGGAAAATTACTTAGCTGTGTTATCAAAGTGCTTTCAAAAACCCCCTAAAACCCAAGTAGTTTAAAGTATTTCTCCCAAAAGGCACAAGATTCCTTTTGTACGGATGGGACATAAGCCCTCCCTGACCCCTGGCAGACCATGCTAGTTCAAGGCTCTCCTGGGGCAAGCTTTTCTGTAAACGGCCATATTTTTCTGTAAATACAATCCATATCATTTCTGTCAATACTCAACTCTGCCACTGTGGTTCAACAACAGCCACAGACAATACACAAAGTGGTGGGTATGGCTGTGCTCCAATAAAACTTCAATAAACAGAGGCAGCGGGCTGGATTCTGCCGAGTGCCTGAAGTGTGCTAACCCATTCTTGGGTTCTAGCCCGATGCGGGAACCCTGGAGTCATTGCAGACATTCCCCTGGAAAGTTCCAGTTGGGCTGCATCTACAGGCCTGCAAGGCTTTCAGGTGCCAAGTCAGTCCAGAGGGGGAGACCAGAAACAGTGACACAGATATCAATGGTTTTAGATGGGGGAGCTTACACACCTGAAGAAAAGTCCTGGAGCAACAACCCATCACGTGGCAGACAAAAAAGTTGGCGAGCAGGACAGTGGTGGTGGCGGCAGTCTTCGCCGGGGGGTGGGGTGGGGTGGGTGGGGAAGACCACCTTATACAGGGGGAATTGACATCACATTGGCTCAGTTACCAGGGAAACCAGCAGCTGAGACCCATCCCTTACAGCCCCTCAGGTTAACAACCATCATGAGGGCAGATGTTTCCCTTTAATAAACTAGCAGGTGGAGCCATTCTGGCCCAAGGATTAGAACACACTGGCTGGGGCAAGGGTGAGCACATTTGTTCCAACACAGTGTAGGTGCAGCAGGGACTCATCAAGCAGAGGATGTACAGACAGCAAAAGAGCAGCCATCCCGAGTGACCTGGCCATACACTTCACAACCCTTACCCTCTTAAGTCTGCCCCTCTTATGTGCTATTCCTGGGGTCAGGTATGTAGAGGTGCACTGCCACCCAATACAACAAGTGCAATACAGACAACAGCAGCTGAAGAGTATCAACAGTGTAAGACGTGGGTAAACTTGGAGCCAGGCACTTACTGGGTCCATTTTTCATGGAAGTCCCGAGGAGGACATCTTCCTGTAGACCCAGCAATCAAATTCTTTTCACAAAGAGGCCACTGATGCCTCCCAATCTGTGAGCAGCTCCGTCTGCTCAGACTAGTGTGAAACGCAAGATGTTTAAAAGGCACGATACAGGGGAAATCGCGACCATCAGCCAAATCTACCCTCATCCCACCCAGCTACCCTCAGTCCCCACAGACTGTGCCAAATACAGGCAAGGTGGTAGAATAGATTGTAAGGTTAATATAATAAATGGTGCCTTCCTCCAGTAAGGGCCTGAGACCTTAGTAGCCTCAGGTGGGGCAGGTGTAAGACAGGTGAAATCTGTCCTTTCTAATCCTATTCCCCAAAGGGGACTTACCCAAACCGCAGGGGACTTACCCAAACCACAGGGGACTTACCTGCCAATTCCAGAGCCATCTTTTATAATACACTCCTGAGGGCAGAAATTATGGCAAGCGCAAAAGTGAGTTATTGTCCTGACCAGTAGTCGACAATGGTCCCTTTGGGGGTAAACAGTTGAACTCGGATGGTGCTGACTAGTTGCCTCTGGGTTAACACGGCATAAGCACTGGCACAATTGTTCCTGGGATGTTTAGTTACAGTTCCTAGGCTGGAGTTAGCCTCCTGGGCCCATAAGTAGAGATATTTCCTATCTTGGTTGTTGAAGTAATCCACTCATCCTTACAACTAACCTGGCCGCAGTGGGGTCATAGGGTGGGTAGAAATGCCAGGGTGTCATTTTCACTGGCCCATATCTGAACTTTATGGCCAGTGGATTCCTTGGCCACTATTATGTCCACAGGGGTGCTGTATGTCATGCACAGCTGTTCTAGATCCTAAATAGTGGTTTTTTGCATTGCTCAACAACTTGAGTAGGCCTTTTATAATGTCTCTCACCTGTTACAATAAATACTTCATAGACTACATATAATTGCTGTTCAAGCACACTGCATCACTGCATTGTCCCTTCCGTAGCTGGGAGCAGAAGCTCAAGGGTACTGTGATTATTCTGTCATTGCACAGACCTGAACCAAACTCTTCCAGGTAACTGGCCATGTCCAATTCCAATTTATATCCTAAGTTAATATCCCTAAAGCCTGTAATTGTTTAGGGGTGGTGGGTTAGGGGTATGCTTGTCCTTTGTAGGTAGTTCAGATCCTTGTGTTGTGTCTATGTTCACCAGCCATCCCCCTGCAGTCAAGTCAGGTGAGCCACGGGCACAGGACTGCTCTATAAACTGTTAAGAGACTGAGTTTAACAGGATATCATCAATGCAATAAAAGACAGAAACCATCTTTCATGGGTAATCAACTGCCACAGGGCTCCACATGCTAGTGGACGGCCACCCTGAGATTCCACCTGACCCCCGACAACTATTCATTCCCCGTCCTTACATCTCAGTGGTCACACGAGTACCCTTAGCCTCCTGGCTGTTTTGTGAATTGTTGGGCTACAAGCCTTGTGGATGTCCAGCCTTGGGACCAGAAAGAGCCCAGAGACAGCAACAAAGACATTAACAGCTTATTGGACACAGGGATCTTACATGTCCGAAGCACTGTCCCAGAGCCACACCTCCACCGTGTGTGGCGGATAGTGCGTAACCTGGCGGCAGTCCTCACTTATCTGGCAGGGAGGAGGCTACCATTTATTCAAGAATTGACGTCAGGTTGCCTCATCAGTTACCAGGGAAACCAGACGCTGAGACCGGTGCCTTACAGCCCCTCAGCAGCCAGAATACTAGTCACACTTTCCTTTTTCCTCAGATGTATTAGCCAGTGTTCACTTTTAAGACTTTGAGAATTACAAGGCTTATGTGTTAAGATTTTACCAAAACTTTCATGTTTCAACCAAAAAGGCATATATTTTAATTCAAAAGCTGTTTCATCATTATGCTAAAAAAAATTTTTTTTTAACAGACATTTTTAAAAAAGACACATCTAGGGACTTCCCTAGTGGTCCAGTGGTTAAGATTCCACACTTCCAATGCAGGGGGTGAGAGTTCAATCCCTGGGTGGGGAACTAAGATCCCACACATCATGAAACCACCAAAAAAAAAAAAAACACCACCACCAAAAAAAAAAAACCTCTATGCCTGTAGTGATAGTTGCACAACACTGTAAATACATCAAAAGTCACTGAACTGTGCAAGTAAAGCTAGTGAATTGTATGGTATGTTAACTATAACTCAATAAAAATTTAAAAAAAAAGACACATCTAGTTAGAATAAGCAGTGTTAGCAAGACTATGATTTTACCTTAGCATTTTATATTGAATCTAACATGTTGCATCTTTTCCAAATACATTTCTTGCCTAACATAAATGGAGGTGTATTTCCATCAAAAGAAGAGATTCTTGTAATTCTGTTGTCCCCAAGTTAATTTTGTCTGAGATGTCATCCTTCCCCAGTTCACTTATTAGTACCAATAATGCCCATCTTTGATTTTACCTAAAACAACAAAGAACTTTCAAAAACATGAAATCTTATTTCAATCAGTGCATCCACAGTTCTTAGCCTCTCATTGGGGAGCTTCCAGATATCCTTGAATAAGATCCTGAACACGCGACAAAATAATCTCATTAGAACTGTTGCAATTTTCTGGACCATATGGTGGGTCTATGGTCAAGACCCCAGCCACACAAAGAGTCTTTCGTGAATCTCTTTGTTCAGTGATGGGGATGTGATTCTTCTCCAGCCATTTCTTCAGGCTGTTCTTCCTCTTTTCCAGATCCTCAGGGCTGTATGCTTTGCAGTCTCCAGACATGAACAGATGCATCAGCTTCTCTCTCACGCTATGGTCCCCTTCATTCACAATTTCAACAGTCTGTACAGCATGTCCCATAATTCCAGTCACAGACATGCTGCCATCTTCAAGGAAGTTCACGAGGACAATACTTTGGAGGAAAAGTAAGTTCAGAGCACAGTTGTAAAAGAAAAACCTAAAGGCCCATAAAACTAGGGAAGCAATGAAATGAAGGCATCAACCCCATCAGGTCACTAGAACAATAGGGAATGTTCTCTGTTTTAAATTAATATTTGCACCACCAAATGTTTTCACTTGTTCCATCTGAATTCTCTGAGGGTCCTAAACATCTAAACCTTTTGTCCAGCTAATCATTGTGGGATGTAGTTAAAGCATTACTTTAAAAGTTATGAATGTTTTAATATGTATTAGGAGAGAAGAGAGGGTACAGATTTAACTTTTAAAGTTAGGAAACAACTGAATAACTCCCCTTCAGAGCAGACCAAAGAAAATAACACAGCACAAAATTAATGAAACAGAAAACAAAAGAGTCAAGTCAGTAAGAGGATCATCAAAGCCAAAAGCTGGTTCTTTGAAAAGTGTATATAAATTTCAGAAAACTCAGGCAAGATTAATAAAAAGAGAAAGAAGGCACACATAAATAGTATTAGGAATAAGGTAGCAAAAATTAATAGTATAAAATATTAAAAACGTTTAAACCAGTAATTTTGACACTTAGAAAACTTCCTAGAAAATATGAATTTCTACTACTGACTCAAAAAGAGAGAGACAGGATGTAAGTAGCCCTATAACCTTAAAAAAAAAAAAACAAAAAACCTGCAGCAGGATCCTCTACGACCCACATCCCAGAATTTTAGAAACAAAAGCAAAAATAAACAAATGGGACCTAATGAAACTTAAAAGCTTTTGCACAACAAAGGAAACTATAAGCAAGGTGAAAAGACAGCCCTCAGATTGGGAGAAAATAATAGCAAACGAAGCAACAGACAAAGGATTAATCTCAAAAATATACAAGCAACTCCTCCAGCTCAACTCCAGAAAAATAAATGACCCAATCAAAAAATGGGCCAAAGAACTAAACAGACATTTCTCCAAGGAAGACATACAGATGGCTAACAAACACATGAAAAGATGCTCAACATCACTCATTATCAGAGAAATGCAAATCAAAACCACAATGAGGTACCATTACACGCCAGTCAGGATGGCTGCTATCCAAAAGTCTACAAGCAATAAATGCTGGAGAGGGTGTGGAGAAAAGGGAACCCTCTTACACTGTTGGTGGGAATGCAAATTAGTACAGCCACTATGGAAAACAGTGTGGAGATTTCTTAAAAAGCTGGAAATAGAACTGCCATATGACCCAGCAATCCCACTTCTGGGCATACACACCGAGGAAACCAGATCTGAAAGAGACACGTGCACCCCAATGTTCATCGCAGCACTGTTTATAATAGCCAGGACATGGAAGCAACCTAGATGCCCATCAGCAGACGAATGGATGAGGAAGCTGTGGTACATATACACCATGGAATATTACTCAGCCATTAAAAAGAATTCATTTGAATCAGTTCTAATGAGATGGATGAAACTGGAGCCCATTATACAGAGCGAAGTAAGCCAGAAAGATAAAGACCATTACAGTATACTAACACATATATATGGAATTTAGAAAGATGGTAACGATAACCCTATATGCAAAACAGAAAAAGAGACTCAGATGTATAGAACAGACTTGTGGACTCTGGGAGAAGGCGAGGGTGGGATGTTTCAAGAGAACAGCATCGAAACATGTATATTATCTAGGGTGAAACAGATCACCAGCCCAGGTTGGGTGCATGAGACAAGTGCTCGGGCCTGGTGCACTGGGAAGACCCAGAGGGATCGGGTGGAGAGGGAGGTGGGAGGGGGGACCGGGATGGGGAATACATGTAAATCCATGGCTAATTCATTTCAATGTATGACAAAAACCACTGCAATGTTGTAAAGTAATTAGCCTCCAACTAATAAAAATAAATGGAATAAATAAATAAATAAAATTTAAAAAATTAAAAAAAAAAAAACTGAAATAACCAGTTTAAAATCTTCCCATGATGGGGGTGGGGGTTGGGGGGTGGAGTTGGCAGGGGTTGAGAGGGGGAAAGGCCCAATTTTACCACAAAATTCTATAAAATTTTCAAGAATCAAACATTTCCAATCCAACCAACCCAATTTTCCTAAGGACTATAAAAGGGAGATTATGCCATAACTCATTTAATGAGGCTAATATAATCTTGATACCAAAAGCAGAGGACAGGATTAAAAAATAAAATTATAAGCTAATCTCACTTATGAATACAAATGCAAAAACCCTAACTAAAATATAATATATGTGATATGATATGATGCAATGTGACATGATAGAATTTCATTTCTGTGGTACTGTCCCCAAAAACCTATAATCCCAGTCAATGAGAAAACATCATACAGACCCAAATTGAGAGATATTCTATTAAATACCTCATCAAAACTCTTCAAAAGTGTCAGGATGATGAAAAACAATTTAAAAAGGACTGAGAAACTGTCACATGTCAGAGGAGACTAAGGAGACACGGTGATTAAATGTAGTGTGGGACCTTGGATTGAATTCTAGAACAGAAAATCCTTGGCTTGGAATCCACAAAAAGGCCATCAGTGGAAAAACTGGTAAAATCCAAATGACTGTAGTTTACTTAGTGAAAATTTTTAGTTCTGACAAGTGTTTGACAGTTGTGTAAACTGTTAGTATTAGGGGAGTTAAATACACAGGTTCTCTCTGTACTTTCCTTGCAATTTTTCTGTAAATCTAAAATCACTCCAAAATAAAGTGTGAGTGTATCATTACTTTAAAGTAACCTTGCAAAAAATAATTCTGATCCTAATCAAACCTCTAGATATGAATACCAGTTTATAAGAAATACAAACGATAAAAGAACATGTTAAACTACACCATGATAATGCAATGAGCTAAATTCAGAGTGTGTTCAATTCGAAGACAAATGACTCCATTTCTTCAAGAAAAAATAACATGGAAAACCATAAAGCAAGTATCAAGTTACAGATTAAGATTCGTAAGAGACATATCAAAAAGTTGATAGGACAACATTAAAAATATACTTTGGAAACAATCAGGAAAACCTGAACTCAAACTAGGAATTAGCTAATATTAAAGTTACTATTACTTTTGTTAGGTGGTTATAATGGTACATGGTTACATTTATGAAAGAGTCCTAATCTGCTAAGAGATCTATTTAAGGATTTATGAACAAAAGTTAGTAACAGGCTTTAAAATATTTGGAAGGCAGAATAAGATTAGTGTTTATTATATTACTCTCTTCACAATTCTGTATATTTGAAATTCTCCAATAAGATGTAATTAAAAGGAGTGTCCCATTTCTACAAACTGGGCTGGTCTGACAGAAATCTATAGTTTGACAGTATTTAGGCTCAAAGGAAATTAAGTACTTATATGAGAATAATCAGCTTTTCATTTATTTATCTGCTTTCTTAGTATGGATAGGGCTTCCCTAGTGGCTCAGACAGTAAAGCGTCTGCCTGCAATGTGGGAGACCAGGGTTCAGTCCCTGGGTCGGGAAGATCCCCTGGAGAAGGAAATGGCAACCCGCTCCAGTACTCTTGCCTGGAGAATTCCATGGACTGAGGAGCCTGGTGGGCTACAGTCCATGGGGTTGCAAAGAGTCAGACATGACTGAGTGACTTCACTTTTCTTTTTTTCTCTTTTCTTTAGTATGGCTATAACATATAGGCAGTGCAAAGGGGTGATTTCAGGGAAGCAGGACTGGTACTCACTTGGCAGAGACTGGGTCTGTGGTTAAAACCCATCCTTTGTACTCCTTGTCACTGGCTGTTACGCTAACCGCTTTGTAAGTGTAATCTTGCCATTCTAAGGGGCTTTTCTTCATCCATTCATTCATGGCTGCCAGCTGGCTAGATCTAAAACAACCACCAGTTAGTATTAATACATATGTTCCCCCGAGGAAATGTCTTACCCCTAATCTCCATTCTAGAGGTAGAGAATACCAGCGATTTGCATCACGTTCCATATCAGAAAAAGTTAAATTTTACTATTCAGTCTGAAAGCCACGGGACCACGAGTTGCCGCGGGGACGCGTCTGGAGTAATTCATCTGGCACACTTGTATCTCACCTCCCAATCTCAATTCCAGACCGCCTTGACGTTGGCTTCGACCTCGAGTCCGCAGATGCTCCAACCTTTTAACTCAGCTCTCCTTCCATCAAAGGAGCTCACTCCACACCACTATTAACCAAAACTGAAAAAAGAAAACTCTTCTGTGATCCACCCAGTCCCTCTCAGTCCCTCTAGGTTTTCGCTAGATCCGGAGAGGCCCCCGGATATGTGACAATTTCATCTTAAAAACTCGTTCAGACATGCGTAAACTAAGCGACAGCAGCCGAGACCCACAGCCGCATGATACTCAGAACTGTACTCAAACCAGGTAATACTTAACGTGTAGTCCTAAAAATGAGAAAAATACCAATTAAAGCTCCTAGCAGCGCTCCCTTCTCTGCAACCACGCTGAGAGGAAGGAATCGCTAGAGCTGAACCCGCCCGAGCCCAGCGTGCTTTGCTCCATGTCGTCACTTCCTTCCCCCAGAATTCTCTGTTTTGTAGTCCGTGGCTTTGTCACACCTCGAAGTCTGAGAGTCCGGAGACCTGGGATGATAAAAGCAGGGTGCAGGGTGTGGGCAGGGGATAAGACTTTTTCTGTAATAATAATAAGCTTCTTTGTTCACTAGGGTCCCCCCATTAACTGCCATTACTGATGGACATTTTAAAATAAAAATTTTAAGAAGACTTGTGTCACCTCCTCCTCTGTAATAAAAATGGAATTCCAATTTTGCCATGAATCAATCCTTCGTGTAAATCCTAAAACTCCAGAAGTGTGAGGTGACATTGCCTTCGGGAAGAGAAACAGAACCAATGTATTTCTTGTTTGCCCTGTGGTAAGGCAGTTAAGGCAGTTAAGATGCCTAATCTTGAGATGTGTCTTTGCTGCAGTCCTGATGCCAAAGCCTTTGACTGTGTGGATCACAATAAACTGTGGAAAATTCTGAAAGAGATGGGAATACCAAACCACCTGACCTGCCTCTTGAGAAACCTGTGTGCAGGTCAGGAAGCAACAGTTAGAACTGGACATGGAACAACAGACTAGTTCCAAAAGCATATTAAAAAGCAGAGACATTACTTTGCCAACGAAGGTCCATCTAGTCAATGCAATGGTTTTTTCCAGTAGTCACGTATGGATGTGAGAGTCAGACTGTGAAGAAAGCTGAGCACCAAAGAATTGATGCTTTTGAACTGTGGTGTTGGAGAAGACTCTTGACAGTCCCTGGGACTACAAGGAGATCCAAACAGTCCATCCTAAAGGAGATCAGTCCTCAGTGTTCATTGGAGGGACTGACATTGAAGCTGAAACTCCAATATTTTGGCCACCTGACGCGAAGAGCTGACTCATTTGAAAAGACCCTGATGCTCGGAAAGATTGAGGGCAGGAGGAGAAGGGGACAACAGAGGATGAGATGGTTGGATGGCATCACCGACACAATGGACATGGGTTTGGGTGGACTCTGGGAGTTGGTAATGGACAGGGAGGCCTGGTGTGCTGTGGCTCATGGGGTTGCAAAGAGTCAGACACGACTGAGTGACTGAACTGAACTGAGGGGGTACAGAAGCTGGAAAGAAAAGCCCTGGATAGGGCTGAATTAATGCCCACATGTTAAAGTGCAAGGGACTTGCTTCCATCACAAATCTGTGGTCATGTACTTAGTTGGCTTCTGGCATGGTCCAGAATTTTTCCAGACTATGATCCTGAAAAATGGTGCAAGGTGGTAAATCTGGAGTTCCTGCAAATCTGCAAATGCAGATTTTAAAAAACTGAGTTAGAGGACTGTCAAACAATACAGGAAACACCAACAGTTAACCAGTTTTTTCCCTCACAACTTGGGATTTGAGTTCCATATAATCCTTGAAGTGTATTGTTTCCAATGTCATCATTTCAAATAATCCTTACCCAAACCTTCACTCACTGAATGATTGGCTTATGATATTAAGGTGGCTTTTGTAGATAAGATTTTGCCATCTAATCTACAAAATCTAATCTAACCTCTAAGTCCTCTATAAATCTACAAAGAACTAATATAAATAGCAATTATTATTGTAATGTGAAGGAAAATATTTGAATTCATAAAAACCCACCCCAAAGAGATATTTGTGACAATGCATCATTTGCATTTTAAGCCTACTATCTATATTGCAGAATGAAAGACTTTGGCCTCTGTTTTATATACATAAAATTCTACAGGCAGTTACTAGCCTCAAGCTTACCCCTCAAGTTAGCCCCTTTAAAGCCCTGAGTGAAACAGGGCCACTTCCCTCCCTTCTCTGCCCTCTCCCTTTAGTCTCCTAACTAAAGGCTCATTACCAGATTTGCTGATACAAATCACTGACTTCTAGCAAACTGAACCCAGCCCATTACCTACACAAGTTCTCAGACAGGCCCTCTCCTGTATCTTGTCCTCACTGAGTTCAGAGGGTGTGGCCTTTCCTTTCCTTGGTCAACTCTTACCCTTGTTCCCCCTGGAGCCTCTCATCCCCAGTTGATATCCCTTCTCTCACATTCTCTGCTCGTTTGGCTGTGCCACATGGCACATGGGACCTTACTTCCTTGGCCAGGGATTAAACCCATGCCCTCTGCACTGGAAACTTGGCAGTCTTAACCACTGGACCACCAGGGAGGTCCCTAAATTTTGTCTTTTAATTTGAAAGCCTTCAGATAGTTTTCTCTCTTCTTTACTAGTTTCCACCACTTTTACTATTTTACACACTTGGCTGATTCATATCTTTAACATTTCTTGCCTGATTCCTATAGGAAGTTTGAGTTTTTGACTCTGGAATAGTCCCTAATGATAAATGAATAAATTAGCAGAGTACATTATACCTTAATCTCTTGCGAGTTTGGTGAGGATCAGTCTCAATGTGTCTAGTCAACTGTTGGGCCAGTTAAAGGCCAGAACCAGGACGGTGGGTAGCAATGTCAAGGAAATGCCAGTTGCAGGGTTTCTAGTTGGATCTCCATACAGACTTCTCCAGGTGATTTCAAGAGCTCATTGTCACCGTGCCCCCTTTTCAACTGTGCCCTCTGATACCATTTTATAGCTTGTTGTTATTCACATTTATATTTTGGCAGTTACTGTAGGTTGGTTCATTTAACAAACCTTTCCCACAACCTCCTAATGAGGCTTGAAAGATAAAAATCTTCAGCCTCCCATGATGGTAAAAGTGACCACAGGAATACTCCTGGCCAGTGAGACATACACGGAAGTACCTAAGAAAGCTGTCCCTTCCAAAATAATACAGAAAATTCTCCTAAGGAGGAGAAAACCTTTTTGATCCTTTAATCATTTCTCCTCCAGCCTGCCTGGATGTGCAGTAGCCACTCTGCACCGAGGAGATAAACATAAGAGCTACATGCCACACAGAAAGATAAAAGAAAGAAAAAGATCCACAGCAAACCTGAACTACCTATCTTTCTATTTATTTTATTTGGGACAAATAAACTTCTTTCTGTTTAAACAACTGTTTCAAGTGTTTCCACCCCAACAAAATCCTTATCTAGTTTATCTCCCTAATAAAATCCCCAGGAGAGAGAGCCTGTTTTATCTTTATATTCTCAGTACCTTGTTCAATGCCTGCATATAACAGGCACTCAGCATAAATTCGTTTAGCCAATTAATAAATTTGCTGTTCTTTGGGGAAATCTGGGGAAAAAACATAAAACCATAATTTAAGCAAAGAGTTACTTACTTCATAATGGACCAAGATAAACTAAGAACAGAAAAAGCAAATTGACAGGTCAAATTTTAAATTGGCAAAGCAGGTAACAAAGGGACCTTTGCTTTTTTCAAGAAAGTAATTTAAACCTGCTCCACTGAAGACTACAGTGTATTACTATCCTTACTAATAGTAGCAGTAGTAATAATAAAAATGCTATTAACTCAATCTTAATGAGCATATAAACCATTATCCTTATTTTACAGCTAACGAAAAACTGAGGCACAAAAGCCCAAGGCCACACAGCTAGCTAGTGACAGAGGGAGGATACAAACCCGGGCAGTCAGGTCGAAGCCTTCCTCTTAACCACTGCATCATACTAATTAAATAACAGGGAATAACTCAAGTATAATTTGTCACCTAAAAATCTATTTTTAGTTAGTGAGGAACATGCTTTTCAAAGTAAGTATTCTAAAACACCAGTTTCCCATTGTGCTCCAGTTGGCTGTCTGGACACCCAAAGTACTAAGTTAATGTGTTTAATCCATGTGTTCTAGCAAACTAAACTCTCCCAGCAAATTCTGTCTCCAAGGGTAACTGCAAGAAGGATATACTCAGTCAAATATGATATTTTGGAAGTTAGGATTTTATCCTTAAAGCAGGCAAAACCATAAGAAGCCCCATTCCTACAGCTGCTGTTTACTGTTAGTGTAGCTCATGAACAGTGGCAGCAGCATAGACGTAACTGGCTTAATGATGTGGAAAAGCTGATCTTCAGCGGAATTATACCTTATGGAGGGCAACTAAAGAGAGGCTATGCAGTAACTAAACTCTCCCTCAAACAACCTAGTCTCTTCTTTTTTTTCTATCCAGTGAATTTATCCTCTTGTCCTCCAATTATTTTCAGAAGGTTTATGTGTGTGTGGAAGGGAGGGCTCTTTCTTCCCTATTTTGTGGCAAATTACAGGCCCATATTCGAGCTTCCTAATGAAAAAGGATAAACTACAGCACTGATCACACAGGGGAAGATATCATCTTGGGTATAAAAAACCAGCAAAAAGAATCGTGTACCTTTCTAACACCATACACAAAAATAAACTCAAAATGGATTAAAGATCTAAATGTAAGACCAGAAACTATAAAACTTCTAGAGGAGAACATAGGCAAAACACTCTCCGACATAAATCACAGCAGGATCCTCTATGACCCACATCCCAGAATTTTAGAAACAAAAGCAAAAATAAACAAATGGGACCTAATGAAACTTAAAAGCTTTTG